TCTTCTAATTTATAAATAAAAACAGAACTTGATTAGTTTACTCGGTATCACCATTAAGGAATTTTGGTGAGCAATAACTATTCAATGTTTTATGTTTGTATTTTACTTTAAATAAAATGTTGATGTTTAAACATTTTTGTTTAACTTGCCGATTCTTTAGTAGAACTGTGAAGTTTATTTTGAATCTATATATATATATATAAAACTTTGAAAAAGCTTTGTTCAAGGATTTGTTTATTTATGATTTGAAGTACAAAAGTTAGCAATTTCCAAAACTTGTTCTCGAACTTGGATTCTTCTTTTACAGGGTAATGGTCGCCATCGTCATCTGTATTGCTTACAGTGAGTTCCCCTGGCCAGATATTGATGAGGCAGCGAGGCACAAAGGTTAAAGTCGGATTGACAAATATTACCTTAATTGAGTACTATACTGCTAGTATAATGCTAAGAATTCCACCAACATTACCTTAACAAAGTAGCTAGCGAGATCTTAAGTTGGGGGTATTTAAAAATTTTGATCTCTGTAATACTTTCCATGAATGGTATTATCAGTTGCTGGGGTCTTTGATCAATCTAGGTCAATATTTTATAGTCGAAAGGCTACATGGATTAGTACTCGATAAACAAGTTATAATATAAACATTAATTAGTATGATTACGACAATATTTAGTGTAGTTTTTGAAAATACGTCATTCATTTATCGGGAATAATAAATATATCTGGCAAATTAGGTAGATAGTTCCAAAATATTATTGACCTTGAACATTGACCGGGAATAATATATTTTTTCAACCGGAATATATTTTCTTTCAAAAATTTATACTAGTATTTAAAAGCCGTATATACCAAAGGAACCAATTACCTACAACATTATTCCAAACTTGTTGAAACAAAAAGATTGATGCAATTGGAGCGGAGAAATCATCTCGCTGCTCTATTTGTGTCTATAAATAGTGGCTTCAAGAAATCTCCTCATCATCGTCTCATCAACAACTCCATTGGTAATTCTCTAAACCCATACATATATATGTTATAAGTTCTCCTATACACAGCCGTATGCCATAGAAAATAAAAAATCCCATACTTTTGTCAAGTTCTGATGTCCATCAAAGGTTTGTTGTAGGTTCTTTTAATATCTCATACATATTTTTAATCCTAATCTAAAATTCTTTTAATATCTCATACGTATTTCAATCCTAAATCCAAAATTCTTATACTATCTCATACGTATTTTCAATCCTAAATAAAAAATCCCATACTTTTGTCAAGTTCTGATGTCCATATACTTGTTTTCAATCCTAAATCCAAAATTCTTTTTTGAAAGTTTTTGAGAGGCATTGATAGTGTTGACAGAAGATAGAGAGCACAGATGATGAGATCCAATTCGGAACAGTTTTTTGCATCTTACTCCTTTGTGCTCTTTAGCCTTCTGTCATCACTTTTTATTTGTTTAATCCATTTTTCTTTAAATTATCTATAAAAACCAAATATAGAAGTCTTAATCTTGTATTTTCTCTATTGATTCTGAGATTTTATATACATAACAACCATCTGTTTTATTTATTTCATGACTACATATATACACAAAATATAAAGCAATATGTTAATTTTAAAATTGTAAATTATTTATTAAGAAAACTAGGTTTACTGTTTTTGTAACTAAGATGTCTACCACGAAAAAAACATTATTTTTTTATTTATCTTAACTTTACCATAATTTTTTTGTTGCTACAACTTTTTTTTACCATATTGAATATATTGTTTTTAATGATAAATTAGTGCATTAAAAAGATATAAAAATATTTTTAAAATTTTAAATATAATAAATTTTTTATCATACATTACACATCTCTCAATATACGATAAATAATACGAATATAAGATAAATCTAATGTTATTTTTTTGAAATTTTGAATCTATCACTGCCATAAAGAACTGTTTCAATTAGATTATTGTATAAATATAACTACATGGTTTATGTGCTGAATAGTATATATTTATTCAGAATACATGTATATGTTGATAGTTTCAAAATTTCAAAAGAATAATATTAGCTTTTATCTTATATTTATATTATTCGCCATATAATAAGAGATCATAGTGTATCGTGGATAATTTATCATATTCAAAACCAAAAAATGCAGTTATATCTCATTAATACAAAAATTTATCATCATAAACAGCCTTTTCAATATGGTAAGAAAATCTGTCAACTATTCACTTAGATTTTTCTTGTTGGGAACTGTGGTTATCTCGAAGCAATGTTGGCATTCCACAAAGATTCATTGGAAAAAAACCAAAACCCTTATGCTTTCACAGTAAGTTCTATAAATGAAAACAAGAATTAATTACTTTGATTCAAAGTACATGAATGATGTTTACCAACAATTGTTGTTCTTATGTTTTCTTATGTAAGTATTTGCATACGAGAGATGTCCAAGAGATAAATTTTCGTGTACGTATCCTATATTTGCAAATTTATAAATTGGAAATAGCTCTAATGAAAATACTTAAACGAAAGAAAAAAAAAACAATTGTCAGTTAACATCATTCATGTATCATGAATTATAGTAATTAGGTTGTGTTTTCATAAACCTTACCATGAGAGCATATGAAAAACCACATAAACTTGGGGTAAACATCAAGTATAAAGTAAGATTATCCTTTATTATTTGACTTTTCTAATGAATCTTTGCATATATTATGCCCTTCGTTGTTCCTAGTAGTGGTAAAAACATGGCATAAATAGTTTTAGTACTGTTTAGGATTAGCCGCAATTCCCCCTAAACAAAAAGAGATATATATGCCATTAGATAAGGCAATAAGCCTCTAAATTCAGCTCCTCACTATCTTCTCGCACATTTATAGAGGTAGATGTTGAAGCAATTTCTTCCTATCTTATCACGAGAAAATGCTTTAGCAACATATTTACTTAATTTTAAGTTTTCTGCAACTGTACCCATGCTATTGCCACTCTCATATGCCGATACATGTCTTCCAATTGAGCATATAAAAAACCAACAATGAGAAATCCAGCAATGAAATAAAAAAATAAGAAGTACGTACCTGCTTCCCGTCAATGGGAAGTCTAGTAATATACAAGATGTCGTTGAGGCCAAAATCAACATAGTAAAACCATCTCTTCTTCGGAAAGTAAATGCATTTTTTCTTTCATCAGAAAAGTGCGACAAAGCTGAGTGGCAAATTTTGCCTATGTTGACCTTCATTATGATTTTAAAAATATTTGAAGCAAGTAGCTTCGACAAGGCTTGAGACTCTTGGATCTACTTTCCAAGAGATAAATTTGTTCAGATGCATGTTGGTTTCAATCGTTTATTTCTGCTCCATGCGCGGTGTTTGGTGCCATTGTGCCTAGAGCTTCATGTTCACAATTAGAACAAGGCATGTCTAAGTCAACCAAATCAATGCACCGATATAAAGAGATGACGTTCATATAAGCACGACGATGCATGAGAACATTTCATAACAGAAGTTGACAATTACAAAGCAATAACGTGAACTCATATCCAAAACTCAAAGTTACAACACATTTCCAAAATTTTCTCTAAATTTGCAAATATGGGTAATATGAATGTGGCATAATTACGTCAAAAAAAGAAGAATGTGGCATAATTTCTACAAAGAGCTATGAATTACACTCACGAAATCAAAAACCCAAGCAACAAGCAACACAACCAAGCATTATATTTAAGATTTGCGCCTCAAGCAATTTCGAGAATTTTCATATTTACAGCAAACCTCAAACATCCATGACAGAGATGAGCTTAAGAGGCCATATATTAGGTTTTGAAATCAACACTAGAACATTAGAACATGTGAGAATCGTGTTTATGGCAAAAAGTGTTAAGTTTTCTAGGCTTTCAACTCAAAACCAATTAGCAATGAATGAATTGACTCAAATCCCTTATATATTACCTAAGATCTTTCCCAACTTTTGATGTGGGATATTAAGATTTCATGACCAATAATCTCTACCTAATCCTAATACCCACCTTCGAAGTAATAGTTCTTTTAGACATTAAAGCTTCATGACTCAATAATCTCTACCTAATCCCAATACCCTCCCTCGAGATAATGGTTATTCTAGCCATTAAATCTCGTTAGACAATCAATTTTGGGTCTGAGGATACAAACCACTTTTGGGTCGAATTATAAAAGTGTGTGGATCGGGCTGTGATACCATGTTAAATTTCTTTAACTTCTAACTCAAAACCAATTGGTAATGAGTGGATTAGCCTAAGATCTCTCCCAACTTCTCATGTGGAATATCTTTCACACACTCTTTAGAAATTAAGATTTCATAGCCAAGTAATCTATATATAATCCCAATATTAAGTTTTAAATGAGGCAGGGAAAAAAATGATTACAAATATACAAGGATTCGAAGATGTCAAAATTGAAAACGAGATATTTGAGAAGAACAGCCGATTAGTGTTTTAATTAAACTTTTTAGAAAAAGCAACCTAGAACAAAAACGATAAGTTTGATCCAAGAGTTTGGTCCGACTATCTTTCTCTCCAATACACCACATAGATTCTCCAACTTATATATAAGTTGAATTTTACCTCATAATTCCAATGTGAGAGATACAAATGTTGCATTTTAAACTTTGCAAGCAATGTACATAAAGGTATATGTTACTTGGAAAAAAAATATCATGCATCACATAAAAGTTAAATATTTGATAAAATCTAATCTAAAAAGATCCATACAATTTGGAAGTAATATGTCCCATCATTGTAATATAAGTAAAAGCTTCTAATTCACCAAAACATCTAAAACGTGCCAATAACAGATGCAATTTCTGGAAAGTTTGTGAAAAATTCCTCAAAAAACCAACACAGTGATATGCCTTTTATTTGTTTTGTTTCTATTATGAAACTATTATGAAATTGTTGCATCTTAATTTCTCAAATTTTCTGCATACAACGAGTCCAATTTATATTTATATAGATATATATATATATATATAGTGCAAATCAAGATTTCATAAAATTTGACAAGAACAACATCATGATTCATGTTAAGCGTCTTACACATTTTCTGAAACATCCTGTAATAAAACTTGTACATCCTCTTCTAATATGCTTTCTGTTTCTTGGTTGCCTTGTGGTGTCAGCTCGATTACCTTGTCTCTAGCTTTCGCTGCCTAAAACCCGAATCAAAACAAGATTTAGACTCTAGCAATAACACGAACATAATGAAAAAGAAAAAAAAAACCTTTACCTCTTGTTCCCAATTGGTGAAGAAAGTGACAAGAGAAAGAACAATCGTTTGTAGTGTAGAGCCTATCAATATACCGATCCATAGTCCTTTCCCTCTCAATTTCACATTGAAACACAAGATCGAACCCACCGGAATTCCGACCAGATAATATGATCCTATGTTTGCATATGCTCCTATATGTTGCCACCCTGTTCCTCTAGCAACTCCTGAAGAAGCAAGAATCTTAGGGTTTATCAAGACAGATAAATATATAGCTTTCTTGGACTTCAAGTGAGAGATGCAATCATCTCTCCAGACTCCAGCTCTTTCTTAGTCTGAAATGCTTTGGTCTGTACATTCTACTATACACAATATCTTTTGATTTGATGTGAACTGATTACCTGAGAGCACGGCGAGAATGCTGTCAACACCAATGGATAAGCACAGAATGGGTGTGATTTGAGTTACATAGTGAGCCACTTCACTCTCCTTGCTGTATATATAAGCCCAATTTTTTCGGTTGCTATAGAGAGTGATGCTTACTATGGCAGCATCAATAGCACCAAGGAAAATCGCAGAGTTAGCCGCGGCTTGAGCTGCCTTTGGATTTCCAGCTCCTAACTCGTTCGAGACATGTGTGCTATTAAAAAAAAAAGAAAACAAGGGTTCACAGATTTCCAATAAAAAAGATAGATTCTTATGAACATTTAATATCTATAAAACCTCGCGGCTGCTCCTATTCCAGACACCAAAACATAATGCAGAGACGACATTGTCAGGCTGTTCAAAGAATAAAGACTACAAATATCAGAAGCTTGTTTGAAAAGGAAATAGGGTTTATGTTAGAATTTTTTTTAAAAGTGAAATATATGTGCAATATACCAAATGGATAACACCGATGTTTCTAGCTTTGAGTTCGGTAAGAGTCCAGACATTAGTATAAGAAGCTCAAACGACCACCATTCCAGGCTTTACTTACACACAAAAAGACCAAAAATAGAGTTAAAAGATCCATTGAAAAGATCGAACATAAAGAATGCTGAGAGTTAAAGATTCGTTGAAGATCAAAAGCAAAAAGCGTTTATTATTATTTTCTTATAAAATTGCACAGGGTTTCGTTACCAAGTCATCATTGCAGTGGGAATCGCGAGGGCAAAAAACTGCTTCATGGTCAAGAAGATTTCTTGCGCCCGAAGATTCCTGGAGTGGCGATACAGAGCAGAGTCTCTCATAAAAATCCAAAGCAAGCCAACGTTTAACCAATATGAAAAACCGATGGACAAAGCGGCCCCAACGATTCCAAATCTTAGTTTGTAGACAAGAAGCCAACAAAAGGGAATGTGAAAACAGAGAGCTCCAAGAGAGCTCAAGAAGAGAGGAAGAACCAATCCTTGTGACTGGAAATATCGAGACATAGATTGAAGAACAGCGTATCCGAATAAAGCCGGTATGAGCCAGATCGAGTATCTACAAGCTAATTGAGAGATGAGAGGATCTTGATGGAAAAGCTTTAAGAGTTTGTCCATGAAAACCCACAAAAGAGAGATTGGAAAACAGAACAAGAGAAGACAGATCATTGAGCTGTAAGTGTATGCACTGATTTTCCTAAATTGCTCTGCACCAAAAGCTTGACCACATAGTGTTTCTAACGCACCTGCCAATCCAAACTAAGGATCGAAATCAGAAAGAGAGAGATACAAAGTGAGAGAGAAGATAAGATCTTACGATGAGGCTAAAGCCAGTGACGTTGGTAAGAGAAGTGGCGATAGCGACGCTGGAGAGAGAGAGCTGGTCCAAGTGACCAGCCATAACTATGGAGATAACTTGAAGGAGGTACTGAGAAACAGCCACAGCCACCATTGGAGCAGCCATGGAGGTCACTTTCTTCATCATATTTGTTGACAAATGACTCATCTCTTCTGCAGATTTCTCATTTCTATATTCTTCTCCTAATTCATCTTCCTCTTTTTTTGGTACCAACGAGAAACCTTGTTCCATTGTTTCGATCAAACTTTTTTCAAAGAACTATTACAAAAGAAAAAATAAGTATTCAAAAAAATTGGAAGTGGTCGAAATTTTAAGATTTTGGAGAAATAAATGGACAAATCTTTCACGTTTAACAATGTGAAACCAATTAAAACAAAGACGTGCCGTGGTCTCAATACGTAGAGGGGTTGGTAGAATAGGGAAGACGCTGACTAACGAAATTAGGGGAAAATTTCTTAATAATATGTTAAGTAAATTTTTATTAACAATTTAATACATCAATTATTTACGTACCCAAGTATTACTCCGAAGTCTTAAAATTTAAACAAAAAGATCTGTCCATTTTTTTCTCCGAAGTCTTAAAATTTCGACCACTTCCAATTTTCTTGAAATTTAGAAATACATTTTCAGTCACCAAGTATTTTTGTTTTAATTTTGTTTTTTTTGGCAAATGAAAAGCTCTAGTTGTAGCGTCACATAACCAACTCGTTGACTTTCCAGTTGTATCCCCGAATGGTACAACACATTTCTGTGCACGGTTTGAGACCAATTACGTAATAGGACAAAAATGTCATTTTTCTTTAGAAGATAAAAAATAAAAATGACAAAAAAAAAACTAAATACCCAAGATTAAGTGACATGTCATGCAAACAAGTCAAAAATGAATGTATAATTTCTCTTGATCTAATTTCATATGTAAAGGCATAAAACAAAAAAAGGGGGCATATGAAACAATCAATACCCCAATAATTGTCATCTTTCACTATACCTCATAAGAAAAAAAAACTCATTGGTCTTCCACTTGGTGAATGATGTATATGAGAAATAAGGTGAGAGTTTTTAGAGTGCATCCAGAGAGAATACCAATCCAGAGACCTTTAACTTTAAATTCAAAGATAAATAAGACAAGTCCAATTGGAATCCCAATAATATAAAACGCTGCGATATTTACATAAGCACCAATTGGAATCCCAATAATATAAAACGCTGCGATATTTAGCAATAATTGAACATAAACATCTTCTTCTTCCTCTCTGTTATAACGTGACATCAACACTATTCTTTATATATTTTTATGTTCAAAAATGAAAAGGTAGCATTACTCGCAGGGCCGGCCTTGGAAGGAAGCCAAGGAAGCTCATGTTTCCAGCCTTTCGTAATATATATATTTTTTCCACCGATTTTTTCTAAAAAATCTCTACTAGCTCTCTTGGTTATTGCTAAAAGTAAACGTTGTGGTTGTCATAGATTCGAATGTCCTACCTTAATTTGTTAGTTCTTAATTATTTTTTTTGTTACTAATTAATGATAGGCCCATAAATTATTATTTTTGCTTCTAGCCCAGATTTTTCTAAGGCTGGAACTGATTACTCATGAATAGGTGATTTTAAGAGACTATATATAGTGTTGCTCAATCAGGCACTAGTATTACATCATGGAAATCCCAGTGTTTCTAGCTTTGCGTTTATTAAAACTCTGGCAATAAGAATCAAATATTTCGAAAGCCGACTACTCAAGACTAATCATCATAGTAGAAGGAACTACCAAGGAGAAGAAGATCTTCATGTGACAAAACGCTTCCATCAATATAAAAACTCCTTTGTTTTCGCAAACTCGAGAATGTCTCATGAAAAACCAGAGGAAAACGTGTTGAGCCAGTGCGAAAGGCTAATAGATAAAGCCACATTTTTGGTTCCAAGCCCGAAGTTGAAACCAACAAATCGATACGTGGAAACATAAAACGGTGAAAGAAGATAAAACCATAGGGAAGATCAAGCTTAGTGTTTGGAAGTAGCGAATCAACGACATAAGAACAGAGTTACCAAATAAAGCTGGTATGAGCCAAAGGCAATAAACAGAAGCTAACTCCAATATTTTCGGAGTCTTGGTGAAACAATAACAATAGATTCTTCATGAAAATCCATAGAAGAGAGATTGAGAAACATACCATCAGAAGAGAAATAATGGAAGTGAAAGTATAAGCATCCAGCTTCTCGTACTGACGAGCTCCAAAGGCTTGATGTGTTTTTAGTGTTCATTATTTTTAGAGTGATGGAAAAAAGTGAAATCTTGTTTAAGTTTTGTATTGAGTTTTTTTTAAGCACATGTCCAACTCTCTCTATTAGTATGACATTGTCTGCTTTAAGTCCAACTGGCAAAGTTCGTATAGATTTGATTTTGGGCTCCTTCCCAAAAGGTTTCATACTAATTGGAGTTAGACATTGCTTATATACTAAACCATATTGGTCTAATCTTCTGATGTGTGACTTTGGATTGATTCCCAATAATCTCCCTCTAAAAAAAAGACCACATAAACTCTTAGTCTCCAACCTACAGCAATACCTAGTATCCATCTTGTACATCTTAATCGCAAGGTCACCTTGAGGGCTCTAGTCTCCCACAACGAATATGCAGCCCAACCCATTTCTCTAGGTCTACCTTCTCTGAACCTTGGCTCTGATAGCATTTATATTGAGATTTTCTAAACCCATGTCCAAATCCCCTAATTAGTTTGATATTGTCTGCTTTGGGCCCAACTGGCAAAGTCCATACAAATTTAATTTTGGGCTCTTTTTCAAAAGGTCTCATACTAATTGGAGTTGGACATTACTTATATACTAGACACTCTTTGTCTAAACTTCTAATGTGGGACTTGGATTGATATCCCGACAATCCTTCCCTCAAAACAAGGACCACACAAAATCGTGGCATCCCAACCTCCTGCAAAACCTGACACTTATCTTGTACCACTGTACTCACAAAATCCAGCACCGACACCCCTATTCGCAAGGTCACATTGAGGGCTCTTTCTCCCATACCGAACACACAGCCCACACCGACTTGTCCATATCCACTTTTTTCCAGAACCTCGCTATGATACCAATTTTTAGGCTTTTCAAGCACATGTCCAACTTTCTGTTAGTATGATATTATCCATTTTGGGCCCAGGTGGCAAAGCCGCACGGATTTGATTTTGGGATCCTTCCCAAAAGGTTTCATACTAATTAGAGTTGGATATTAATTATATACTAGACCATATTGGTATAAACTTCTGATGTGTGACTTTGGATTGATTCTCAACAATCCCCTCCTCAAACCAAAGATCACATTAACTCTTGTTCTCCAACCTACAGCGATATCTAGTACACATCTTGTACCTCTTAAACGCAGGGTCACCTTTAGTGCTCTAGCCTCCCACAACGAACATGCAGCCCAACCCACTTCTCCAGGTCTAGCTTTTCTAAGTCCATGTACAACTCCCCCAATTAGTATGATATTGTACGCTTTGGGTCCAATTGGCAAAGCCTGCACAGATTTGATTTTGGGCTCCTTCCCAAAAAGCCTCATACTAATTGGAGTTAGACATTACTTATATACTAGAAACTCTTTGTCTAAACTTCTGATGTGAGACTTGGATTGATATCCCAACAATCCTACCCTCAAGCCAAGAACCACAGAAACCTGTGGCCTCCCCCAACCTTCTGTGAAACTTGGCACCCATCTTGTACCGCCATTCACACCAACGGAACCCACGCCTGACTTTCTGCACCGTGATTCACTGGATATGTTCTCTTAGTTTCTACTGCAATAGAACAACTTGTAGTTGTAGTATAAAAGATTCGAATTCTAGAGGACCAAGGTTACACTATGACTCTACGAGGACTGAAACAAAGCCAAGAGAAAAGAGGACTGAAACAAAGCCAAGAGAAAAGATGATTGGTTCGTAATTATGGTGACAAGTAAAAGAAAGTAAACGACGATTTAAATTTGATTAAAACAAACACTAGACTAAGGCAATTCGCAGGAATTTCAAAAATAGAAATCAAAGGACTATTCAGGACACAGTTTAAATGCAAGTCTCAAACTCAAACATAAATGCATATCGACCCACTATTGTGGCTTCAATAACTTTGTCTAAAAACCTAAATTCTAAACTGTTGTTTGAACCTAGAAATCGCATACAAGCATTAACAAGCATGTTTGATCTGTTCACAATCTGCCTTAGCATCAACTGTCGTTGGCTAAGGATGAATCACTTACCAAAGTTTCTTTTAGAAACCTATTACACTTTTGATGAATAGATTTACCTAAAATCGCAGATTAAGTGATCAATTCAACCTAAGCATTAAGATTAACAATGGTGAAGACAATCAATATTAAGCCCTATTTGCATTCAATTCCCTAACTCATGAAATCTTTTGAAAACCTTAATCTAGCTAGAGAAATTACTCAGACATGGCGAAAAGAAAAACAACAAGAGATGAAAAGGAATTCATGAATAAAACTCAGAGATATAAAAGGGTTCAGAATTCTTCTCAAGTATAGCAGAAATTACTCTCCCAAATCTTACAAGCAAAAACTCCAAAAAGTCTAGAAACTGTAAAAATAAAGTGTCATAATCAAATTAGGTGGCTCTGGTCTTTTATTTCTCTTCCTTAGCGTCTCAGAACTATGTAAAATCTGTTTCCTTAGTTTTCTCAGGATGTTGGAGCAGGTGCTCCGCTAAAGGACTTAAAGCATCTCAAACCAACCTCTAATCCTCAAATTTTGAGGTTCTTTAATTTCCAACCCATCCTCAAATCCTCAAATTTTGAGGTTTTGAATAGTGACACCTCAAATTTAAAGTTTCACTATTCAAAACCTCAAAACACTTTTTACTTTTCTTTTTAGTCCTTGTAAATTTGTATTTCTTAGAAATAGTTTTATTAACTTTTTCTACTTTCATTTTAGTCCATATTATTAAATAGTTTATTTATACAATTATAAATTTGACTATATCACATAAGCTGACTCAAAATGAAATAAGATAATTAATATAGAAAAATATTATACACTACTTAAAATTAGTTTGACATAAAAATAATATTACATTGAGAAACTTAAACACAACTTTAAAGTCACACTACAATAACAAATATTTTACATGAAAATAAAATTATATGAAGAAATAAATATTACACAAATTAGAATTTGTACTATAATATAAATAATCTGGTAAATTTAATCCTAAA